TTAGTAGAGATGGGGTCTTGCTCAGCCTGGTCTCGAACTCCTGACCTTGAGCGATCCACCTGCCTCGGCCTGCCAGAGTGCTAGGATTACAGGCATGAGCCACCGCGCCCGGCCAACTCCACAATTGCTTCACTAACTCTTACTCATTCTTGGCGAGGCATAACCTCTTTTAGATAGCTCTCTCTTAACCCTGTCCCCAAGAGTTAGATATCTCACCTCTTTGTTCTCATGGTACCCTGTGCATGTTTCTATTATAACACGTACCTCATTATATTGAAATTGTTTCCTAGAAAAAGATCACATCTTATTCAATTTGAGTCTCCATATTCACTGAATGAATGAATAAATGATTTAATTGGAGTATCAGGTAGACATGAATGGATGGATAGGGAAAAAGAAACCATATAAGCTAGTTTATATTTATTATAGATGACCTCATCTTTACAACTATCCAGTGAAACAGACTTTATAATCTTCGTTCTACAGGTATAAAAATTGTAACTCAGAGATATGAAGTGTTCATCTAAATGAGTTTACATAATAATATCTGTTTTCCAATAAATTGGTGACTTCTCTGTTTCTAAGTAAGATGACATAATAACCTTTACTCCTTAGGAAAAATTTTAATATGATTGTCTCAATACAGAGAGAACATATACAGACCAAAATAGGTTTAGAAGAATAGCTCTTTAAAGAGCTAGTGTTATCTGGTGGGTATTTCACCTTAAGAGATTATATCTTAGTGATAAAAAGTATGGAGAAGAAAGACTAGCCACACCTTTCACACCAATAATCTCCACCTACAACTCTCAGATAGAGGACTGAGCAGGGAATATGCAGAAGAGCTATGTGAAATCCACTTGGGTCCCACTTAGGTCTCTCTCCTTCAGGAGGAAGAGGAGGGAAAAAAAAAAAAAAGAATCTTAACCTAAGTTTCTTCATAATTCAATACAACTCATAAGGGAAACAGCATTTCCTTCCAAACCTTTCTACTTACACCTGCCAAAGTATGTGGCAGGGCAAATAAACTTAACAATGAAAAAGGCACACACTTGAAAGTTCAAATCAACACTTTTGTTAAAGTTTTATGTACTTACCCTTAGAACACAGGAGTTTATATTGAGGTTAACTACAGTATAATCACTTTTATATGCCTATTATTCATACTTTTTAAAGAGAAATTCTTTTTAAAGGTTTTCATTTGAAAATCTTGCATTTGGGAATCCCCCTAAGTTAACATTCTCCTACTTAAAAGCTGTGTTTTATGTTTGATCATGATCCTTTCATAACGCTATGAACTCACCTGCATTGGCTTTAAGGTCTTCAGGGGTGACCATGACAACGAATCGGATTGCACGCTCATTTCGAAACATTTCATAAGACCACCTACGAATAGACCGCATGCATTTCACCGCTGCAATGCCATTGTTGGCAATAAGAACCTGGGAGGGGGATGGGAAGTGGAAGAAAAGGCAGAAAAGAAAGGCAGCAATGAAGGAAAAGAGATTAGAGAATTTTTATAGCTCTTTCTCTGAAAAAGTCAGATTTTCAACCAAGAATTCTTGTTGTTAGCCCAAGATGTTAGGAACCAGCTGCCCCATGATTAAACCGTATTTTAAACTTGTTTGCTAAGCAAATACTTTAATATGTGCCAGGTAAAACTTACTGCTTTCTAACTTTATTTCTTGAAGGGAAAAAATTCACAACTACTCAAATTCTGTAAGTTGGTGGATTATTCTACCATACCACCATACCTATTACTAGGGAACAAAAGAAAACAAACTTCAGAGGGATGATGTATTATCAAAGAAGGAATGGGAGAAGACTGAACAGTGCAGTGTCATGCACCACTCTCTGTTGGAATAAAGCAAGGTGCAGAGTCCTAAACATGTTTAAAAACCCTGGCATCAATCACTTCTCTCCAAAATCAGGAACCCAATGCCTTAGAATTATAGAGACTGCCTCAGAAAGAATGGTCACAATAAAAACAATAGAAGAATCACTTAATCCTGAGACGTCCCTATAAACAAACCTTTCATCTCCTTACCTATCTTGCAATCATGCCTCTGAGGATAACATAAGCTAATAGACACATACTCTATCTTTATTGGAAGACTAATAGAAGGACAGTGCTGAAGCAATACAGTTAAGAGTAGAAATATAGGTCCCTATCTCTTAATCTTTTAATCACTGCAAGCTATTTCAACCAAGTCATCCTCTCAGCTCTGTCATGGTTTAGATAAAAGTGACACAGAATTACATTTCAAAATACTTGAAATCTCTTTAAGTATTTCATGTGGTATATTTCCCCCTAAGTATCTCAAATACCTAGTGGAAGTCAGTAAGTCACAGTGTATCAAAATGTTTAAGTCATCTCTTCTGAAAATCTCTCTACTCCCTTAGCTCTCAAACCAATGCTGCGGCATAATATCGCCCACCAGTCCCCAAGCTAATCAATTCTTTATACCCTGTCAGATCAGTGCAGCCCCACCCTATAAAACCACAAGATCTTTCAAAAAGAACTTCATGAGCACTAGTCCATCTCCTTAATTACCTATGACTAAATTATCAGTGGTAAATACATATTTACAGAAAATAGTGAAATTATATTAACAGGATGTTAGGGAAGCAGACAGAACAATTCTGCAAAAAGAGGTAAAGTCTCTGCAAATCTCAATATCAATTTTGAGCAATTCTACATAATAAATCCAGGCATTAAATCTCAAATACTTTTGACAAAATAATTTAGTGAGTTACAACTTACCTTCTCAATCACTTTATTTCCCCCAAAGCGCGTAACAAATTCTGCTGGAGAAGCCACAGTGAAATCTCTCTGAGAGTCGATTTTCTTTCGGTCTCGGCCTTGCTTTACTAGGTGCAATCCAGACATGCTGGACCTATAAAAATAGAGAAACCATTAAAGTCTATAGATAGGATTTCTTTGCACCATTTATATGCCGTGGAGACCGGCTTTTCACTACGATGCTTATAACAGTACATTTTTTTTAACTCCTGATACATTGGCGATTAAGTTTCGACGTATGAATTTCAGTGAAGATACAAGCATTCAGATACTACATACATATGTACATATATACACACACACACATGTGTTTCTATACATATATATTTTTGGTATTATATTTATACATGTATATACATAAAAAATTTGTACATGCCACCACACCTTTCTATTTTTTTGTAGAGACAGGGTCTACCTATGTTGCCCAAGCTGGTCCCGAACTCCTAGCCTCAAGTCATCCTCCTGCCTCAGCCTCCCAGAGCGCTGAAATTACAGATGTGAGCGCTGGCACCTGGCCCTGATGCTTTTTACTTAATTGGCAGTACTGTATTTTTTTTTCTTAGTGGCACATCAAATAATAGTGCTTCCAACAATCAACAGCGCCTTAGATTAGATGAAATATAGTAGTAGAAACAGCATGAGACTGGGTTTAAATTCCAGATCTAGTCATTAAATAGCTCCAGTGATCTCTGGCAAATAATTTAAACTTGCTCAGCTCCAGTGTTTTCTTTGTAAAATATGCATAATATTCACTGTTCCAGTTATTTATCTATTGTCTCTCAGCTCCACGCTTACCCTTTTATGCTCTGCTTTGTGACAATGGGGCTAAGAGTCTTCAAGCTTTATTTCCAAAACTCCTGTGCTAGGTTTTTTCTATTCAGTTCTACCAATGGGAAGGCAGAAAGGTAAGAAAAGAGACTTTCTTTCTTCCTGTTTTCCAGCTCTTATCAGCATTGTTCCAGCAGTAATAGAGAGTTAATTTCAGCCTCTAGCTTCTTTCAGCACTCCCAGGAAAAGCCTTAGAGGTACCAGCAGCAGTGGATTGTAGCTCCGAGGCAGAGTATCAGCCTTTCCATGCTCACTCATCCTCTGGACCATGCTGCTTGGACCTATCAGTCACCTGTCAGGCCAGGCCTTCTCCTCTGGGACCTGAGCACCAACTACTCAAAGCTTACTCCCAAAGGTCCAAGCACCAGCCTCCTACCCTAGGGCCCTCCACCAAACTCTGAGATTCTAGTAAAACTATCTCTACCCTTTTGTACTCCCCGCCCTAGGGGTGATAGTTGCTTCCTCTAGTTATTAACTCTGGGTCACCTCAGCATCCCTTTTTTGTTCTTTATTCTTCTAACACCCAAGTGAGCGCTATTGAATGCCCTCTGTTTTCTTATAGTTTGTGCAGTTTCTCTTCCTGTGATTGGACCTTGACTGATAAGACCCTCTGAAAGAGTGTTCTGAGGATTAAGATAATGGATATAAGCTCATTTATACACTATTTGATAGAAAGCTGTTTTCTTTTCCTATTCGCATCTGTTCTTCCTTTCCCCTACAATTTAACCTTGACACTGCAGTAAGTTATCTTTTCAAAATAAAAAAATACGATTAAAATCTTCCCACAAAGAAAACAGCAGGTCCAGATGGTTTAAAAGACAAGTTCTAGGGCAGTCATCTACCAGACAATAACTTCCAGACAATAGAAAAAGAAATAAAACTCCCCAGCTAGAGTAAGATAACAAAACTAGACAAAGATGTTACATGAAAGGAATATTCCAGGTCCATTTTACTCATGATTATAGATGCAAACTTCCTAAATATCCTAAAACACTAAGGTACTGGTGCAAAAATGGGCAAAATAATTAATCAAAAATATGTTACTTCATAACAAAGTTGAGTTTGTCCCAGGTATGCAAGATGGTTTAATTTTAGAAAATCTATAAATGTAAAACACTATGTAAGAGGTCCTAGCAAGTGAAATAACATGAAAAAAAAAAAATTAAACTCATTAAGATTACAAAGGAGGAGGTTAAACTATCATTATTTGCAGATGATGTGACCATTTACATAGAAAACACAAAAGATTCCAGAGATAAATTATTAGAAATAACAAGAGACCTTGGTCAAATATTGAAGGAAAACAACAAACTTTTTCTCCTACTATACTCTTACAACATAGAACACTTTTGTGATCCCCATGTATGGGGGGTTTTCTCCACATACCAAGCAGTTCTGCAGCATATACCAGCTGGGTATTCTGTAATTCAATTCAATTCTGACACTATCTGTGTGGAGATAGTGTCATATCCCATGAGTTAAGTCCCATAAGACTTCTACCCCCACCAAACTATAGATGTCAATTCCAAGTCCCAGGTTGTAAGACCTGTACTTCTGACTAAATAACTATACATTGGGGTTCCAAAGACAACGTCCTAGGGTTTGATTAATTTGCTAGAGCAGCTCACCAAACTCAGGGAAATACTTTACTTATGTTTACCCATTTATTATACAGGATATTACAAAGGATACTGATGAACAGCCAGACGGAAGAGATGCACAGGGCAAGGCATGTGGGAAGGGCATGGAGGCTCCGTACCCTCTACAGGTGCATGACCTTCCAGGCACCTTCATGTGTTCAACAATCAGAAAGCTCTCCGAATCCCACAGTTCAAGGATTTTTATGGAGGTTTCATCACATGGGCATAATTGATTATATCAATGGCCACTGGTGATCATCTGAAAATTCCAACCATCTAATCACAGGGTTGGCTCCCTGGCAACCAGCCCCTATCCAGAGGCTATCCAAGAATTCCTCATTCACCAGTCATCTCATTAGCATACAAAAAGGCACTTATTACTTAAGAGAGTCCTAAGGTTTTAGAAACTGTGTGTCAGGAAACTGGACAAAGACTATATATTTCACAATACAAGTGTCTAGATACATGATTAACATACAAAAAGTCCAAAAATATTATATACAGCAGATTACATACAGATTATAAAATTAAAAGCAGAGTTTTAAATATACATACTTTCAAGAGATATACATAGATACAATAAAACTATATAAAAAGGAAAACAAGTGATTAAGGAAAAGGATTATCTGGGTTGAGGGATATAGGGAGAAGGGCTGAGGAAAAGATACCATATGGCTAGGTGCAGGTTATTGCCAAGACCTACTTTTGTTTTAGGTGACAGGTTTTTTTTTTGTTTTGTTTTGTTTTTTTTTGAGACAGAGTCTTACTCTGTTGCCCGGGCTAGAGTGCCGTGGCGTCAGTCTAGCTCACAGCAACCTCAAACTCCTGGGCTCAAGCAATCCTCCTGCCTCATCCTCCCAAGTAGCTGGGAGTACAGGCACGCGCCACCATGCCCGGCTATTTTTTTCTGTATATTTTTAGCTGTCCCATTAATTTCTTTCTATTTTTGGTAGAGACGGGGTCTCGCTCTTGCTCAGGCTGGTCTCGAACTCCTGAGCTCAAAGGATCCGCCCGCCTCGGCCTCCCAGAGTGCTAGGATTACAGGTGTGAGCCACTGCGCCCGGCCTAAGTGATGGATTTTTAAATTCTTTTTTTTGGTTGGGGGAGACAAGGTCTCACTCTATTGCCCAAGCTGGAGTGCAGTGGTGTGATCACAGCTCACTGCAACCTCGAACTCCTGGGCTCATGTGATCCTCCCACCTCAGCCTCCTGAGTAGCTAGAATAACAAGCTTTGGCTAATTTAAAAACAAATTGTTTTGTAGAGATGGTGGGGGGGGGGTCTCATTATGTAGCTCAGGCTGGTCTTGAATCCCTGGCTTCAAGTGATCCTCTGACCTTAGCCTCCCAAAATGCTGGGATTACAGGCATGAGCCACTGTTTTAATCAGTCTTTAAAACAGCTAAATAACAAACCAAATAAATAATATTGGCCACACGTGGACCAATGATAAGTGGGTCATGAACCAAGGATTATGATTATATAATACTATACACCTGGAGTTACACATACACATACACACACAGCTAATAAGAAGCGATTCCCCTAGCACACCGCACAAAGGCTTAAGGGTTGTAGCCACCACAGAAGATTACAGGGCAAGATGAAGCTGACAGCAGAACTGACTGGAGCTCTATACAAGCAGCAGCTGGAACAGAAACACTCCAGGTGTCAGGACCCCTCCATCTTTTCCTGCAGCTACACAATAACTCTTTCTCTACCTCCGGCCAGAAATTAAATTTACTAAAGTTAACCCGTGAAGGGGCAGAAGCACAGGGAACTTAGATACAGTGGGGAATGAGAGTAGCACGAGGGAAGTGGTTGTGCACCAGCGCACAGCTGAGGGCAGAAGTGAGGCACCATGATGAAAATGAGGGGCCCAAGTATAAAGATGGATCTCATCAAAATCTCCACCTCTCACCTACCTTTTCTCAGGAAAGTATTAGATGATGTCTTCCAAAAGGATGGAGTGAATCAAGAAAAAGGAAGATAAAGGATGATGGCAAAAGAGGATCCAACATGGAATAAAAGAGAAGGGAATTCCCTAGATGACTGTTCAAACTGAAGGAGGAAAAACTGCTCAGGAGAGTTACCTCCTTGAAAACATACGGACAGCTGGCAACGGTGGCTCATGCTTATAATCCCAGCACTTAGGGAGGCTGAGCGGGGAGGATCGCTTGAGAACAGGAGTTCCAGACCAGCTAGACCCCGTCTCTACAAAAAGTAAAAAAAAAAAATTAGCGTGATGGCATGCACCTGTAGTCCCAACTACTCGAGAGGCTGAAGCAGGATGATCACTTGAGCCCAGGGGTTTGAGGCTGCAGCAGCTACGATTGCACCACTGCACTCCAGCCTGGGTGACAGAGTGAGACCCTGTCAAAAAAAGAGAGAGAAAGAAAAGAAAAAATATGTACAGATTACCTGTTGTATTTAATCATAAAAAAACAAAACTTTGTATACATACATCTTAGTCCACATGGGCTGCTGTAACCAAATGCCATAAACTGGATGCCTTATAAACAACAGAAATTTAGTTCTGAAGACTGGGAAGATCAAGGCACTGGCAAATTGGGGTCTGTTCTTGCTGTGTCCTCACATGGTAGAAGGTGCAAGGTAGATCTGTGGAGC